CCAGCCCTTGGCTGAGGGCCAGGAACCCAGCCCAGGTCTCCCACGTGGGTGGCGGGAGCTCGGTTACTTGATCCCTCACTACTGGCTTCGCAGATCCACCTCAGCAGGCATGTAGGCATCCTGACTGCTGGGCTAAGCGCCCACTTCAGCTCTTCAGTTAGTTGGAGTTTTTTAATTTATTTTTGTTCCATTTCCTTTCTAATTCTTTCACTCTTTGGAGATACACCAGAAATTTGGGGCAAAAGGCAAGCCAAGAATTGTCAGTACACTTGTTACAGTAATGAAGATGGGATTGTGACCATGCAGAATGTAAAAACTCCATGTGGAATTCACTACATGAACTTCTGTTGAAATACCCAACAGGAGAAAGAGATTTTAGACATTTCTAGGCTAAGCTCAGCCTAGTTTCAACTGCACTTACCTTGGTGCCATAACTCTTTACTGCTCAGTAAGAGCAGCTGTTTTCTGCCTCTGCCTGAGGTCAGCCAAGTTTTTCCATGAAGGCACAGGTAGGAGATGCTTCAGGCTTTGCAGGCCATATGAACACTGTTGCAGCCACTGTGCTGTGCCCGGTGAGTGTGGCTGTGTGCCAGTGCAACTTTTATTTACACAAACCAGCATCCATGGGCCATAGGTTACTAACGCTTAATGTAGTTACCTGCCTCTCTCCCTAACATCTATGATCTTTGTAGGTAGAGGTGAAGAGTTACAAAAGTCTTTTGCCTTATACAGTTTCCCCCAAAAAATGTGAATAGCAATACTTACAAGCCTGATATTAAAAGATGAATATGGAAAATCAGTGCTTGCTTTGTAGACAGGATACATCCGGTGGCCCAGTGGTGTTTCCTGCTGTGTGTTGTGGGGAGATGATCCTTGTGGGCTGCCGGAGGAGGAGGAAGAGGAGGAGGGCTCACAGGAAGTCCTCCCAGATCAGGCTCTGACCTCAGGAGGGGTTCTGCTTTTATCCCTGATGAATAGTGAGGTTCTTCCAACATGTTATTTGTAAAAGAGGTTTCGCTACTAAATACTTTTTAAAATATTGGTTTACAAAAAAAAATATTGGTTTACATTTTTTGCAATCAATATAATCCTTTTTTGTATTACATATATATATATATACACTATATATGTATCGCTTTGTAATTAAAAGGGATAAAAAAAAGGAACTACAAATCATCTAAATTAAAAGCATCTCCGTCTCTTCCCCTGTCACGGATCTGAGAGGGTGCAGTGGCAGAGCAAGACAGAGGCAGAACTGGGGCGGCCGCCTCCCGCCTGCTGGTGATGCTGTCCCGTTACTCTGCACTGCCTCCGAGTATCCTAGTGTCCAGCAGGGGTGTAAGGGGAGTCGTGGAGCCCTTCCAGGGTCCACATAGTAGAGAAGGTAACCTGAAGCCTCGTGGGTCTCTCCTTACCTGCTCAGGCTCCCTCTACCTGGCCCTCCTAGGAGCCCCCTAGTTCCCATAAGCCCCCAGGCTGTCAAGGTACAGACTGCACAGAGCTCAGCGCCAGCTCCTACCTCGGGGATGTTTCCCAGGCCCTGATCCCTAGACGTTGATTGAACAGTCTCGTGTGTGACTTAGACAAGCTGTCTTAGCTGGGTCCTCATGTGCCCTCAGCATTATCTCAGGGTTGGCTCTTGGGGATTCAGTGCCAGAGTGGACAAATCCTGAGACACCGGAGAAATCACCCACCTTGGACTTTCCCTGGCTTGTGAATGTTCCTAATCTTTTCTATGACTCTCCACATGTGAATCAGGGCAGTGGTTCAGAGGCAGGTGCGGGCATGTGCCTGCACCTGTGCATGGGTGCCTGCATAGTACCAAGGCTGTGTTCTCAGGAAGCCATGTAGGTCCTATCAGCCAAATAACAAGACAGAAAAAAGGGGTCCAGCAGATAGGTGATAGGGCATAGGGGAGATAAGTGTTTGTTACTGATGAGGAAGGGCGAGCCAGCAGAACAAAAGAGTTTAATTCCCAGAATACTGTGTTCTAATGAAGCCCCATGCTGTGTTTGAGTCAGGGTGGCAAGGGCTGGCTGCAGCAAGGCCTTAGATGGGAGTGAGTCGTTCCTCTGTGACTCCTTCACTCAGATCTCCTTCTTTCAGGCAGCCAATATCCGCCCCTGGAAAGCCTCCTTTCTGTGGAGGAGCTTACCTGCTGGCTTGCCTGGAATGCGTTTTGGAGGATTAGTGGACGTGGCTTGGAGACTGGCCCCTGCGCCCAGTACACTCTGGTGAATATTAATGTCGGCATCTGGGAGGGTTATTTCTCAACGGGCAGCTCTCACAGAATACATTCCAAAGAGGGAATGCTTCGCTCTTGTCTGAGGATCCTTCAGCCAAACACACGTGGGAGGGAGGGGCAGCTCCTCTACAGGTTATGGGACAGCAGCTGCACTGCATGCGCACACCTTTGCCGCAGTGGGGGGACCTCCTCAGTGGAGCCTTTGCTGGGGCCTCCCGCTCCGGGGAGAGGAGTACAGGTGACTCTAGGGGAAACAGAGGCAACTACCCTCTTAGCCTTTCGTCCTGCAACCCATGCCAGCTTGATTTAATTATGGCTGTGTAGCAGTTAGGAAAGTTAGAGTTATTAATGTTCAGCTGAAAACGTTTGAATTAAAATTTGTAATACCAGCTTTGAAGACCTGGATCAAGAAAACTACTGAGTGGCCAGTGATCAAAAGAATTCCATTGAAAAATGTAATTAGCCATTTTTTCCTCTAGCTGTTACAAAAAAATTACCCAAAATATTGCTTTTTTTCCCCTGGCTTCTTCCCATTCTTCAAAAGATTTACCACACAGTTACATACCAAATTGATTAATTATTTTTTGTTTATAAGAACGTATAGTTGGATTTTTCACCTTCATATACTGGCAGAGAAGATGTTGCTGTTATTCTCATTAATGTTGTTTTTTTAAAAATGGTAAGTCGCATACCACATGGAAGATCATGATTCATCAGACACCTCCGCCTACAAACAGAATACTTAGTGTAAGTGTCTACTTAGTGTAAGTGTCTCTGTAGTTAATATTATGTTTTATTTTTGTGTTTTAGGGGGTAGTTGTTTCCATGTGAAAGCCTTCACAAAAAATTTCATGAAAGAAGGTCATCAGAGAGGGACTATGGCAGGAAATTTAAGCTTTAAGGAGATGACTGATAGAGTGGATTTCCTTGCACAGAATGAATACCAGATTGGGGAAAGCAATGGGAGAAAGAGAACCCAAAGAAGCAACACTCACACAGGGGGTACCGCTGAAAGGAGAGTGAGGGTCTGAATTGGATGGGCAAATGTTATAAAACCATTTTCAGCAAGAGCTCAGGACTTTGTAGATTGTGTCCTGTGGGGAAAAGAAGATGACTCAAAACTGGAGCAGAGGTGGAAACCCAGATCTGATGCGGGTCAAAAGGCCAGGCTGACAAGAAAGAGAAAGAGGTTGGAGGGGAGAACAGTACTGGCTGTTTTAAGAGAGACCAGAGAAGAGATTTGGTGAGAGCAAAAATAAAGAGATGACATGATTGAATAGGAACAGGTTTGCCTTGTAGTTCATCCCTGCTGGAATGTTCTCTGGCCTGTAATATTCAGAGTTCAGCCTTCCCACCTTGTTTTGCCCTTCCTTTCTCTCCCTTTAGCACCAGGTTGAGAGAATACAAAGATCTGCCTGTAGCTAAATTGTGAGTTCTTCCACAGACACAGATGCCTATGAAAACCTGACCCAAGGGAATAGAAAGGAGCCGTGGAGCTTATTAAATTTCTCTTTGGCCCTGCTGCTTGGTGCTTTGTAGGCTGTGCGCATGTGGGCACATATTAGCATGTGGTCAGAGGAGGGGCAGAAGAAGAAACTGTGACGTGAAATAGCAGTCGGAGTTAGTGCTTTTCATAAATTATTTCCTATATGAGGTGTGGGGGCTGGAAGTGGAAGCCTTGGACTGAGATGCAATGCAGTCTGTGAAGTGTTAAAGAGGCTATGCCAGGTTGAGCTACTTGGCTTTTGTGGGAAGGGTGATTTATCTGCAGTTCCCTCTCTCCTTCCATCATCTTCACTTGTCCTGCTCCTCGTGTTTCCTTTAGTCGGACTAAACGGAGCTTGTGATCTGTAAGGTGCTGTGCTGGGGACCATGAGAAATACTGAGACCATGACCCGTGCTGGTCCCTGCCCTGCAGAAGCAAGGTCAGGTGGTTTCCCCTGAAAGGACTTGGTCCTGAAGATTGAAGGGGGGAGCCATCACATGTTGTTATGCAGGGAACCTGGAACCAGTAGACTCTGCCCCCCAGCCTGTTGGCTGAACGCCCACCCATGCTGGAGTTTTCTTCTGCAGGAGTCATGTACTTCAGAAAAGATCCAAGAAGTCAAACCCTGAGGAGGGCATTGTGGCGCAGTGGGTTAAGCTGCCACTTGGGACACCTGCTTCCCTTGTCAGTGATCTCCTGTGCATCCTTGCCACTCCGAATTTCATCCAGCTCTCTGCTTACGTACCTGAGAACCAGCAGATGATGGCTCAGGTGATTGGGCCTCTGCCATCCATGTGAGAGACTCAATGGAGTTGTTGGCTCCTGGCTTCTCCTAGCTTAAGCCTAGGCCAGCCCTGGCTGCAGCCATTTGAAACAGCAAGTAGACTTTCTCCCTCTCTCTCTCCCTCTCCCTCTCCCTCCTTCCCTCTCTCCCTATCTCCCTCCCTCTTTTCCCCACCTTCCTTTCTGTCACTCTGCATTTCAAATGAATAAATAAATCTTTAAAAAAACAAAAACTCTGTAACATTCAACTTGTAGATTAGTGAGCTCTGTAACATGCCCGGCTCCTCTTGTCACTCAGGATGGAGCACAGGGATCAGCAGAGCCCACACAAGTGGGCTGTTAACAGGAGAAAGGCATTCTGGCCTTTTAAATTACAACAGCCTCTAATAGTCTTCCTAGCAAATGAAGCTGAAAGTGAGCCGGACTTGATACCCAGGGAGCTAAGCCCCGTGGTCTGGGCAGCACCTCATCATTTCTGCTTCTTAGGTACCCTTTTCTGCTCCTGCCCGTGAGCCACTGATTGTGAAGCCGCGTCATGACGAGGAAACTGCTGGGATCAAGGCAGATGGCCTTGCTACAGAGAGGAATTGATGATGCCAGATTTAAACACCGGCAAAGAGCTATGAAAGCCGCATACCTGCTTACCGTGTCGCTGCCCGAAAGATCTCCAACATAATGAGACTTCACTTTTGAAATATCATAAGACCATCCGAACAGTTCCTGATATTTCTGATGGCAGCATCTTTCTTAAAGAAGGGACAGTATTGGAAAGAGTCACCTTCAAAAATATAAGAAAGCTGTTCTTCTTCTCAAGGGCTCTTTGGCCTAGACAAAATTTTCTCATATATCCACATTGAAAGCATAAGATGAAAGAATTTTTATCCTATTGGTCTATGTAATATGAAATTTAGATCATAAGCTGGGGCCAAAGCATAGGTTGTTAAATAAGAGTTTACCAAGTGATCAAATAATCTATAAAAGATTGCTTGGGCAATGTTTAGTTCATGTTGGAAAATTAACCAAGGGATTTAGAAAAATAGATTTGCATTGAAAGCAGGAAATGTGCTGATTATAAATTTTTTAATGTGATAATTTATGCAAAATTATTTTGCAACTGTTGAGGTCTGTGTGAATATGAGGTAGGATGATGATTAGTTGTTCACCATTCATTCCACATTCAGGCTTTCTGGCATATTGCAGCTGTAGCCATGCTGTTTGGTAGTATTGCTAACTTTTATGTTGCCACCTAGAACCCGTGATTCAAAACTTAATCCCTAGAAGGAGTAAAATGATAGCCTCAGGTAGCTGTTAAAGCTGGTGGTTTTGTATTGTCTCAAAGTTTCAGAAAGCTTTGCCTCACCCAGTTTGCACAGTGAGATCCTGTAGGCGTTTCCTCCACGGGCAGACAGTGCACCTGCATGATACTGTGCCTGCTGGAAGAGCCCGTGGGGCAGCGCCTCCCCTCCCACCCTGATCTCACGCCTCAGTGAGCCAGCACAGTGGAGCCCAGATCTGCACTTTGCCACCTCCTTGCTTCTTTTTTTTTTATTTTTATTTTTTTAAATCACGGGGCTTCAGTGACTCAACACAGGAACAACGCAAGCCAGACAGCCAGCTGCAAAAGAATACTGTTAACCAGCGCCTTTGTTTCCTCCCCTCCTGGAGTCCCAGCTTTGAGAGATTGAACAAGAGCAGACAGCGCGCGGCCGCTCTGACGTCCTCTGCCTGCCGCGTTTCCCGGGGACCCATTTCCTCTGTATTTCCCCCTCCTGCTGTTGCAGGAGGACTGCTGTCCCCTTTGCCCACTTAGAGGCAGGGCCCCCGCGGTGGCGGCTCCTCAGGAGTTGTCGTGTCTGGGATCTGCAGGGCAGCCGCCGGGGCTGCTTCACACACTTGTGAGAAAAGGGAGTACTTGGCTGCGGGCTCCTGCCGAGAATCTCATTTTGGACTTGCAGTCCTCCAGCGGCTCCTCTCAGCTGGACTTGTCCCCCAGCTGAGGACGAAGCTGCGCCCCGTGCCAGCCGACAGTAGGGAGGCCTCTCATCTTTGGGAGAGTCCGGGTTCTCGCCAGTGAAGTTGCTGCTCTGCAGCTGTGTTAATGCCCCCTGGCCGCTGTCACTGGCGCCCTCCCGCCTCTCAACAGAGAAGACTGGAACAGCGCCCCTAGTGGGTTGTCTGTCTCTCCGCTTGTCACCCAGAAGAGTGGGAAGTGGACAGGTGTAAATGGGTTGAGGGCACTGAAGGTTCCCTTGGTGACCCCAGCTTCGTGTCTGCGGCATCTGTTCCTCTGGCTCATGACCTCTGGTCCCCTATCATGGAAGTTAGCCTTCCCCTGGTTAGCAGCCGAGAAGCGGTCAGGACTCCTCCTGGCCTTTCTTCCTTGACCCTACCCTGAGCCCTCCTTGTCGCCGCCCACCCTGCTCCCCTCGTGCCGCTGCTGAGGAGACTTTGACTGTGTCAGCTGTCCCGACTTTGCAAGGCACGCTGCCTGCAACTCTGCTAACTCCGCCCAGCCTGCTGCACCTGAGACTGCTTCGCCTCGCCACCCCACACTGCAGCCCTGCGCCCTCCACTTCTACGAGGAGTCTTTTACTTGAGTGGAAAGCGCTTTCCCACCATCTTTGTTCTCTTTATCTAGTTGTCTCTCAGGTCCTGTAGCCATCACACCGTCGTTGCATTGCCATTCTTATCACTGTAATATCTGTGGGGGAACATCAGAAGTTCATGAAAAGTGGAATTAAAAGACAAGTTTATTTTGGTACACAGAGATTTTTAAATCTGTGCATACAAAGGATCTTCAAAAAGTTCCTGGAAAATGTGTATTGTGAAAAAACTATGCCTGGATTTCAAAATTTTTTTGCACCAAAATAAACTTACCTCTTAATTCCACAAGCATTTTGAAGCATAGTCATCCTTTCTGTTGAATACCTTTTCTGTCTACCCTGCTATCTTATCATAGGCCCCATGTGTTCCAAGTAACAGAAGTCAAAAAAAAAGGGGGGCACAAGCTCCAAATGGTGCCTTTATTTACATGATTGGGAGGTTTCTCAAGGAATAGAAACGCTGATGACCCTCCCGGGAACATGGAGTCCGCCAGGAGCCAGGGCGGCCCTCTGTAGGCCAGTCTCTGATTCCTCTGCTTCTCACTGAGGGTGAGTTTCATTGCTTCTTTGTGCCTGTGGTGAAAGAGGGTCACCCCAGAATACGTGCATCTTTAATCATCTAATTTTAAATGAATGGGACCAATTAAGCTAGAATCTCACATAAGTCTCAGTTTCTGAGAAAGGAATTTTGTTTAGCTCACCGTAGATTGTGTGGCTTCCTAAGATACAGTCACAGCTGCAGGACCAGCTGAGCTCAGGAGCCCGCCATGTACATTTTGAGATTGGGCTGGAAAGAATTCTCAGGGAGAGGACTGGTATACAACATACATACTGTACATGTGCTGCACGTTAGGATTGGAAGGGCTCAGAGAAACCACCAAGGTGTCATAAGGGATAAAGCAGAAATACAGCTAAGTAACTTCATGGTGGTGTTACTTAGTACTCAATAAATATTTTTTTAATTGTTGAATAGAAGATTATTATTTCCGAAGCAGGTAAAGGATTTCTTTTTAAGATTTACTTATTTACTTGAGAAGTAGAGTTACGGGGGGGGGGTGGGGGGGTCTTCCATCCACTGGTTCACTCTCCAAATGGCTGCACCAGCCAGAGCTGGGCCTATCTGAAGTCAAGAGCCTGGAGCTTCTTCCAGGTCTCCCACACTAGTGAAGGGGCCCAGGGATTTGGGACATCTTCTACTGCTTTCCCAGCCTATAGTTGAGAGCTGGATTGGAAGAGGAACAGCCGGGATACAAACCAGTGCCCATATGGGATGCTGGTGCTGCAGGCGGAGGCTTAGCCTACGATGCCACAGCGCCAGCCCCAGTAAAAGATCTTTAACTCAGAATAGTCTGTATGAATTTTTGAGGTCAAGAATATCTTTGGCTTTGAGAGGTTTAGAAGGGATTCAATGACAAGTTATTACAATCTCACGCGTGTCCTGGCAGTCCATCTTCCCTGGGTTGGTTGTTTTCACCCAAATGAGAACAGTTTTAGCAGCAGCAACAGTGTGAGGCTAGGCCTTCAAGTGGCATTTCCCACATGTTGGACAGTTAGAAGTAGGCCAAACAGGCACTTGCTCCTGGCCTAAAAGGTACCAATTCCGTGGAGAAGCTTTTGCTCTCCACTGTTATTCTTCAACCATTGTTCACAATCTGGCACAGAATTAATCCCTTAAGAAGGATGGAAAAAATGCCATTCAGCACAACATAGTTTGTCATCGCATGCATAATGCAGTCTTTCCAATTAGAAAGCTACAATTTGGAAACTTTCTTCATAGACTGATGAGAGAGCAATTATTTTAAAGAAGGGAAAGCTCAGTCCACTGGGTTTGCCTGGAGTCACTTCTGACTCAAGCCGCAAAGACAAGAGTTTTGAAAACATATTCGCTATTGAATTTCGTATGAAAACACCAGCAAGGAGTGCAATTAGTTGCTGTAAACCAAACCCCTGGTAATCAATGGTATGCAGCCAGCCAGAGCGTTTATGGAAGATGTAAGCAAAATCACATCTGCTAATCAATTTTAAAAAATCCAACACTTCACGGCTTTTAGGGAGACTCCACAATGAGAATAAGAGAAGATGGAGAAGCCAGCATTTAATGTCACTGGGCATTTCATGCAGTGCTCATTAGGGAGAGAGGTTTGTGGCAACAGCTAAACACAGCCCTGATCTGCATCAATACGTCTTGGCCAGTGGCTCCCTGTATTCAACCTCTTTTGAAAATGGCTTCTGATGTATGGGTGGAGGTGTGGATGTGCTGGGTATGTTTCAGGAGCTCATCTCAGTTAAGGTCAGAGGGAGTGTCTGTCCTGGCTGAGCTCGCTGTGCAAAAATTCCCAGATAGATTGCAAGTGCAAAGACATAAGAACAGACTTTGCAGGCAGGGGAAGAAGTAGAGGGAATTGGTAGGTTTTTTCATTTGCGCCTTATTAGAACAGAATTCCTCTCTATGATATAAAAGAGATTGAGCCAGTTTTTACTTTAGTGTCTCTAAGTTGCTTTTTTTGGTCAAATTAGTGAAGGGATTTTCATTCCTGATTAAGCCTAAATTCCAAGCAAATATGCATTCTGGCATGTCAATTAGAATCCGGGCTTAAAAACTCCACAATGTGCTTGTGTCCGAGCCCTAGGCTTGATAATCTGAGCTCTGTCTGTCTTCCCTTCCCACTCAGAAGTCACCATGACCCCACATTTCAGCCCCTAGGGACCCTTAATCAAGGAACAGAAAGATGTCTCAGCCAGCATGTACACTTGGCTGCTGTTCAGAAAAAAGAATTTAGGCCAGAAGAAATGATTGAGGTAAAGATCGATAGACTAGGCTGATAAAAATTAATGTCTTCAGCATGCAGACTATGATAGGCAGTAGTAGATTAATATCCTTTAGATAGGGAGGACACTTAGTTATTAACAAAAGGATAAATATAAGTCAAAAATGGGAAAGAAGTTCCCATTCAGTGATAAGTAAAAAACATCAAATTAATAAGATATATTTCATCTATCTAGTTGGTAGTATTTTTAGTATTGGTGATATTGTGTATAAACAAGAATCTACTATATACTGCTAGTAGTGAACTAATTGGTTTAGATTTCCATGTGGGGTGGAGGGAAGAGAAGTATACAACTACTTTGTAAGACACATCAATACTTTAAAATGTTTGTATGCCCTGCTCCAGGTGTTTTGCTTACAGAAACTTTCAAAGGCAGTAACAATAGATTTAGCTAAGAATGTTCCTTATAGAATTTAGTAACAGTGAGATGTTATCAATGCCATACATAAGCATTAGTAAGAGTCTGATTAAATAAGTTGTGGGACAATCATACAATGAAATACTATAAAGTCAGTACATATGATATAGAAGAATATTGCATAATTCAAAATATATTTATAATAGATTAAGTAAAAGAAGCAAGTCTTGAACAGTAAGTACTGTGTATATATGTTTGCAGAATTACTGGAATTACAGATGATCTGCATCTTAAAATAATGATTTGCCTTGAAACAAAGTGGAGGACTTTATAGGACAAGCCACCCATAGGGCCTGGTGTAAACAACTTTAAACATTCCCTGAGTCAACTTTCACTCCAGGAATCTCTACTGCAGCGTTTATGGTACTCATAAATGGTCCTCCTTCTGTATCTTCTCCATATCCCATATTCTCAAGGTGACATATCTTGAAATCTGATTAGGTTCTGTCCCAAAAGGACTGATTGTTTTCATTTGGCTCCTCTGTAGAACACTGACTTGTGATTGTCTAAGGCTGGGAGTTATGGTAAACCTGTGTCTCCATTAGTAATCCAAAATCTCATTCTGGAAGTCTCAACGTTGCCTCCCAACAAACCCATTACCACAGCTGTTCAATGAAGAGAATGATTAATTTGAAATGTTTTCCTGGTATTAATCTGTGCAGGCAGAGTTAGGAATTTCAGCCCAGTGCATGTATGGAACATACTCCATGTACAGAGCCCATGTGTTTGGACTAGAATCTTTTTTTCAAAAGAAAGATCTAGGATCTTTCTAAATGAAAGCCACACAAAATGGCAGCAAAAAATACATTTTTTAGAAGTTACTCAAATATAAATTAATACTGGCTATCTGCATATTCAAAGAAATGACTAATATAGAAATGATTCATTTTCTTGTCAGGCAGGTTGGTTTAATCTAGGAGTAGAATTATTGGACACTTAAGAACAGTAGGGCAGATCTCACTAGTCCAAGTGATCAATTTCAGTTCACAGTTGATCACACTGATAGGTCTAAGAGTCAAAGGGATCACATAAACAAGACTAGTGTCTGCTAATACTAACTGATAGAATTAAAAAGGAGAGAACAAGCCAACATGGGAAGTGGGATACACAGCAGACTCATAGAATGGCAGATGTCCTAAACAGCATTCTGGCCTCAGAATCATCCCTTAAGGCATTCGGATCCAGCTGAAGAGCCCATGAGAGTATTTTAGGCATGGAAAGCCAAGACACTCTGGCAAAAAAAAGAAAAAGAGGACCTAAATGAAAGATCTCTGCGAGTGAGATCCCAGTAGAAAGAACAGGGCCATCAAAGAAGGAGGTACCTTTCTCTGAAGGGAGGAGGGAACTTCCACTTTGACTGTGACCTTGTCTGAATAAGAGCGAAGTCAGTGAACTCAAAAGGCTTCCATAGCCTTGGCAACTCATGACTAGAGCCTGGGGTGATTACTGACGCCATAAACCAGAGTGTTAAATTGTTAAGTCAACAACAGGGTCACTGTGTACTTCCTCCTCATGTGGGATCTCTGTCCTTAATATGTTGTCCAATGTGAATTAATGCTATAACTAGTACTGAAACAATATTTTATACTTTATGTTCTGTGTGGGTGCAAACAGATGAAATCTTTACTTAATATATACTAAATTGATCCTCTGTATATAAGGATAATTGAAAATGAATCTTGGGCCGGCGCCGCGGCTCACTAGGCTAATCCTCCGCCTTGTGGCGCCGGCACCCCCAGTTCTAGTCCCGGTCAGGGCATCGGATTCTGTCCCGGTTGCCCCTCTTCCAGGCCAGCTCTCTGCTGTGGCCAGGGAGTGCAGTGGAGGATGGCCCAAGTGCTTGGGCCCTGCACCCCATGGGAGACCAGGATAAGTACCTGGCTCCTGCCTTCGGATCAGCGTGGCGTGCCGGCCGTGGTGGCCATTGGAGGGTGAACCAACGGCAAAGGAAGACCTTTCTCTCTGTTTCTCTCTCACTGTCCACTCTGCCTGTCAAAAAAAAAAAAAAAAAAGAAAATGAATCTTGATGTGAATGGAATGGGAGAGGGAGCGGGAAATGTGAGGGGTGTGAATGGGAGGGAAGTTTTTGGGGGAAGGAAAAGCCATTGTAATCCATAAACTGTACTTTGGAAAATTATATTTACTAAATAAAAGTTAAAAAATTAAAAAAAAAAAAAAAAAGAACAGTAGGGCAGGATCCCTTCTGATTGAATCAGGATAGCTTGAGTGGTAATGTGCTTAGGTGGACTAGAAGGAATCAGTGATGTGATCTGTTTATGCTTTGCAAAACCTTTAAATAGTTTTCTCTACTTAAAAGAAGAGATAAAAATTATTGGGTAGTATGGGTTTAATCATTCACGGTGGACAGAATTACAATTGAAAACGACGAACAGGGGATGGTGTTTTGGTTGTAGCAGTGCTTGGGATACCAGCATCCCATATTGGAGTGCTATTTGGAATACTGCTTTGAGTCCTGACTCCTTTGCTTTTGATCCAAATTCTTGCTGGTGTGGGAAGGCAGTGGATGATGACCAAAGTACTTGAGTCCCTGCCACCCACATGGGAGACGTGGATCGAGTTCCTGGCTCTTGGATTCAGCCTGGCCCAGACTTGGCTGTTGCAGCCATCTGGGAAGTGAACCACAGGATATAAGATCTTTCCCTCCCTCTTTCTCCCTCTCTCTCGGTTGCTCTGCCTTTCCAATAAATAAATCTTAAAATAAGAACAATGGGTAAAGAAAAGAGGGGAACACAGGGACAACCCAAATTCTCAGTAATAGCTTTATAGGTAACACTGTACTTGACTGGTACAAGGGATTTTTATTGGTTGTAATTTCCAGATTAAGGGAAAATGATGATTCAACTACTTTTTAGAGTGATAGGTTATAGGTTTTAAATCATGATGCAGCTACATAAACAAGGAAAAAGGAAACATTTGGCAACAGGATTACAAAATGGGTTCTGGGTCTAGATAACAGATTGGAGCCCTGTATCCACCACTCACTATCTGTATGAGTTTAAGCAAGTGACTTAATAGCTTTCAGCCTCACTTTTATCAACTATATTTTGATAAGAATAATGGTGTTTGTTACGGTATTCAGAAGGATTTAATGAGATAATTGTATAGAGCACATAGCACAGGGCCTGGTACACAGTGAGCATTAAAGAAATGTTGGCTACAGTGATCATTATGATTGGTGTTGTCACAGGGAATGTGTTTGCTCAGCAGACATTGACTGAGGATAAGCTGTGTGTGAGACACTGCCAAGTCTTGGATGTAGAAAAGTCAGTTTGACATAGGCACTGCCTTCAAGGAGCTCAGTATATATTCTAGCTGTGGAGGAAGCAAATGCACACGACCAACTGTAAAACACTAATACATATTTTGCATGGGAAATAGTTTTAAGGCTGAAATAATAGAAAACAATGATCTGTCTCCCATGTCATACCATCAGAAGCAAAATGCTAATCCTGATATGCAGTGCTCAGATTCTTAGTATTTCAATTCTTATTTTTTAAATTTGAGAAGCAAGATATCGAATGCACATATCATATATATGATCACACATGAGAATATTTATATGAATCTATACCTGTATTACTACTACTCAGATCAAATAGCACATTTCCAGCATTCTAGAAGGTTCCCTCATACCCTGTCTCATTCAATACTTCCCCCAGAAGTAACCACTCCTCCGATTTCTGTCACCAATAGATACATTTTGTCTGCTTTGAGCTTTATGTAAATGGAATAGTTTAGTCAATGCTTGGGTTCTTGTCTGGCCAGAAAAGGGGAATAAGAACAATAGTACCAGATTAATAAATTTATAAATACTGAATAAGAAAACTTTACTAGTGAATAGAAGTTTACCTGTATAGTTGGCCCTGTTAATCTTTGGGTTACACATCCCTGGATTCAACCAAGCACAGCTTGAAAGTATTTAAAAAATTATTTTGTTCGTACTGAGTGTGCACAGACTTTTCTTTCTTGTTATTATTCCTTAAACAGTAAGGTATAACAACTGTTTACATAGCATTTACATTGCTTATTAGGTATCATAAGTAATCTAGACATGACTTAAAGTACAGAGGAGGATGTGCATTGGTTATTTATGAATACTACAGCATTTAGGGGCTGGCATTATGGTGCCAGCATCCCATATAGGCACCAGTTAGTGTCCTGGATGCTGCATTTCCTACCCAGCTCCCTGCTAATGGCCTGGGAAAAACAGCGGAAGATGGCCCAGATCCTTGGGCCCCACATGGGAAACCTGCAGGAGGCTCCTGGTTCCTGACTTCTGGCTTTGGCCTGGCCCAGCCCTGGCCATTGCATCCATCTGGGGAGGGAACCAGCAGATGGAAGATCTCTGTCTTTCCCTCTCTCTCTGTAACCCTGACTTTCAAATAAATAAATAAAGCTTAAAAAAATACTACAGCATTTATATGAGGGTAGTTTAGACAATCTGTGGATAAATGAGGTTAAAAGATGAATTTGTTTTGTTGCAAAAATTTTTGAAATCCATACATAATTTTTTATAATTATGCATTTTCTACTTTTTGAAGACTCCTCTTGTAAGGGATTTTAGTATCCGTGAATTCTGATATCCCTCAAAACAAACCTCCCACAGATACTGAGGGATGAATGTATGTCCAAATCAGGTAATCTTACCAAAGCTATAAAATGATGCTGAGAATGAGAAGGAACCTAAGGCAGATTCCCTTCAAGCAGTGGTCTCAAAGATGTTACCTTTCAGTCAGCCCAGACAGCTGGAGATGGGAGCTGGAAGAATCAGGAGAGGAGGGTTTGAGGACGTCTCCTCTTACACCAGTGTAAAGGGAGACAGAGGCCGTCTGGGATTGGATAACTTGTGAAATAAACTAGAGAGACAAGTTCTCAGTGCATACTGGCTCCATCTGTTCTCAGATTTTTGTTGGGATTACTTTCTTCCTGCACTTGTGGGAAGTGTGGTGGAGCAAAGGAAGCAGGTGGGAGGGATAGAGTAGACATGGACACCCCTCTGGGCCTATAGCGAGTTAGAACATTAACAGGGGCCAGAGCTGTGGTATAGCATTAACGTTGCCGCCTTCAGTGCCAGCATCCCATATGGGCGCTGGTTTGTGTCCTGGCTGCTCCTCTTCTGATCCAGCTCTCTGCTATGGCCTGGGAAAGCAGTGGGGGATGACCCAAGTCGTTAGGCTCCTGCATTCAGATGGAAAGACCTAGAGGAAGCTCCTGGCTCCTGGCTTTGGATTGGCCCAGCTCTGGCCATTGCAGCAATTGGGGAATGAAACAACTGATGGAAGACCTCTCTCTCTGCCTCTCCTTCTCTCTCTCTCTGTAACTCTGACTTGCAAATAAATAAATCTTTTAAAAAGAGAGGGAGAAAAAACATTTACAGCAGTCTTGTGTTTTTCTCTTTGTTCAGGTTGTTGCTTTGGGACTGTGATGACCGAAGCTATAGTTACTACGTTGAGGTTTCTACCAATCAGCAACAGTGGACGATGGTGGCTGACAGAACTAAAGTCTCCTGCAAGTAAGTCGCATACTTTCAGAAACTTATTCCAATGGAAAAGGGCGGTCTTTGCAAGGGATTCTGTGCATCCAGTGAAGATTCATGGAATCACCAAATTGTATCCTTAAAACGCAGTCTATTGATCCTTTACTTCCATGTTGACTGCTAAGTACTTGTATGAGATATGTGTAATGTGACTAAGCAAGGTTTCTCTATCTTGGGATTTGAATTTGACTCAGACTTTTGAAAAATGCACCTAAACAGGAAAAAGATACTTTTCTCCTGCAATCTTTTCTCAGACCCTCTCCTGACATCCCATACTACCTCTTTAGGATTTTTTGGGGGGTGGGATTTGGTTGAAGTGATAGACCCTTGATATCCTATTCCACCCTCAGATCATTGTTAAGGTTAGCTGAGTATTTATCTCATCTCAGTGTTAGCTAGACTGTAACCTAAATGAAGGAAAGCCCAGTGACTTAGGTTGTTTACAGACAGAGGCATGTAGTGCACGTGGCACCGGGGCTATGTTTGAGCTTACCAACCTGCAGGAGATTCACCAGCCTAGATCATGGGCATAGCAAGACTTCAGAGCTTTTCTGTGTAAAGCCAGATTCTCTGGGAGGCAAGAGAGCAAATGGCTGCGATTTCTTTTTCTTCTTGGAAGTGAGATATAATCAACATACCATAAAATTCACCCCTTTAAGGTGTGAAATTCAATGGATTTTAGTATATTCAGAGAATTCTACGACCATCACACTATCTAATGTTCCAGAACAAGCCTCCTCCCCATTAGCAGTCACTCCCCATTTTCCTCCCACCCTGCCAATGTCAGCATCTGATAATCTGTGTTCTCTCGCTATGATTTGTATATTCCGGGCATCTGACAGAGTGGAATTCCATAGTATGTGACCTGCTTATTCCTGGCTGCTTTCACTTAGCGTGATGTTTTCAGGGTTCATCCATGTGGCATTTATAGAAGTTTGTTCCTTTTTATGGCTGAGTGATATTCCATTGTATGGATGTATACCATGTTGTTTTCCCATTCCCCAGTTGATAAACATTTTAATTGTTCCCACCTCTTGCCTGTTATGAATAGTGCACCTGAGAACATTGCTGTACAAGTTTATGTGTGAACTTAAATGTTTTCAGTTCTCTTCAAACGCTACCTAGGAGTAGAATTGCCAGGTCATATGGTAAAGTGGTTTAACTTTTGAAGGACCATAAACTTTTCCATAGCTTCTGCTCCATTTTGCATACCCATCAGCAATATATGAAGATTTCAATTTCTCCATGTTCTCATCAATAGTTGTTATTGTCCATATTTATGAATTTATTTTCATTTTATTTGGGAGGCAGAGGGACAGAGAGACAGATAGAAAGATATTTCTAACTGCGGGTTCACTCTCTAAATGCCCACAACTTCCAGGACTGGTTCAGGCCAATGCCAGGAGAGTCCATCTGGGTCTTCTACATGGGTACAAGGGACCCCTGTACTTGAGTCATCT